CTTTCTCTGTCCCACCAGCCAGCTCCCAAACAATGACAAAGAAGCTCCTAATTAATTATGAAAGCTCAGCCTATGGCTTAGGTTTGTCCTACTAGCTCTTATAACTTAGATTAACCCATATACATATATATTTAAATCTACGTTCTGTCAAGTGGCATTATCTCTTTCATCTTGTATCTCCTGTTTCCTCTCCATGTGTCTCCTGGCACCTCCCGTGCGTATAGATTTCTCCTCCTCTGTCTTTCTCTCTTGAGAAATTCTACCTATACCTCCCGCCTAGCTATTGGCCATTCAGGTGTTTTTTTCTTTTCTTTTCTTTTCTTTTTTTTTTTTTCTGAGACAGAGTTTCTCTGTGTAGTTTTAGTGCCTGTCCTGGATCTCACTCTGTAGACCAGGCTGGACTCGAACTCACCAAGATTCGCCTGGCTCTGCCTCCCAAGTGCTGCGATTAAAGGTGTGCGCTACCACCCGGCTGGCCACACAGCTTTTTATTACACCAATCCCAGCAATACACCTTTACACACTGTACAAATATCCCACAACAGGAAGGACTTTGCAGGATCAACTTTTTATAAAGGAAGATTTTGAAACGCAGACATTGCCGAGCCACACCACATGCCAGGCACCTTCACAAACACAATTTGCCCAGTCTTCTAAGCCTGTATGCTGCTACAGTAACTTTTACTTATTGATGAGGAGACTGAGGTTGGAGGAAGCTCATCAAGTCAGGCAGGGGTTGGGCCAGGACTCATGCTTGTCCGATGCACATTCTAATGTGAAGATGAAATCAACATAAAGAAAACACTGGTTTGACATCAGCTTTAGCTTGGGGCACAGGTAAAGCACCCAGGAGAGACAGCACAGATCCAGTTTACTTTGCCCAAAGCTACACCTGACTGGACAGGAGCCCAATGCCACAGGCTTCTGCTGCTTGTCCCTGTTTCCAATGGGAGAGAGTCCCAGACCAAAGCAGCTGCCATGCATTTATACCCACAAGTAAACAGATAAGTGAGTAGATGATCAAAGGTTTTTGTTTCTTGTTTTTTCTTTTTGGTTGTTTGTTGCTATTAAATCCTATTTTTTAATTCTTCATGAAGAATTTAGTACAGTATAACCAAACAATTGGAAAGGTAAAATGTTAAGAACACTTTGGGGTCTTTTCTCTGTATTTAAAAAAAACTAAAGCTAGAACTCTGCTAGCCAAAGAGTTGATTTCTCCAGGCTCAGTGGCTACAGCTGCCCTTGGTCCGACACAGGACTAGGAGCTCTGCAAGTGCCCCTTTAGACATGCTTACCAACTGAAGCCAGGGTTTCCTCGACACAAAGTTTTTGTTTTTTTGTTTTTCCAAGACAGGACTTCTCTGTGGTAACCCTAGTTGTCCTGGAACTTGCTTTGTAGATCAGGCTGGCAATGAACCTGGAGATCTGCCTGCCTCTGCCTCTCAAGTGCTAGGAATAAAGGTGTGTGCTACCACCACTGGTGACACAAAGTAGTCTTAAAAAGTGTACTTTTTGTTAGAAAAACTAAAGCAAAAATAACTTATGTTTTACCTATTGCAAAAACTTCCCCAAGGTTTAGAGCCAAAATAACCATTCCATCCTAAATATGGTTACTTTCTAAGTTTTAAAATAGTAAACAAGAAATTATTCAACTTTATATATTAATTCTATTCATATCATGTCTAGTAAAAAAACTTCATTTTGATGTTAATTCTGTATTGGGCTCAAAGGAACAAAATCCACATTTTAATGTGCAACAACAACAAAACACACACACACACACACACACACACACACACACACACTACTTCCTTGGTTACTGAGGTCATGGTAAGAACATGAAAACCCGACGCCAGTTAAGTATCAAAGCTAAAGAATTCCAGGTTCTTATCTCAGTTACTGATGACCATCTTTCCGGTCTCAACTTTTAAACTTACTCCTTTTCATCTTTTAGTTCTTGCCAAAATTACGCACCTGGCTTGCACAGTACTCATTTTTAAAGAAGCAGTATGTGATGCTGAAGACTCAGAATGTGTGAAGAGGCGGTCCATTAAACTAGCGGAGACAGCAAGGCTGCCCTTTGAGGTCCTTCATCTGATGACTGCTTTGAAAGGCAACAGCTAACCACAAATGAGAAGAAATGGGAAAGGCAGGACCACTTTGACTTCCACGGGAATGGTGGCAGGGACTATATCACTAACTCTCTCTCTCTCTCTCTCTCTCTCTCTCTCTCTCTCTCTCTCTCTCTCTCTC